ATAACTTACCAACGTAACACAAAGTAAACCAATTGAATTTAAAACCGAGAATATAAAAATGTATGTAACAGAGCTCAAAAACACTTTTTGAATATTATAAATAAATATATCATTTATTGTTGTTTTCGAACCCCCTATTAAAAAGTGCTGGCTACGGGCCTGGTATCATCATCAAACACAATGGTATGAGACTGCAATCAATGCTTCATCACCAGAGACTGTGACGTGTTACCATAAGCATTTCCATTTCAGTCAAATACAATTCATTCTCAGCTAGAATACATTACTTAACTTTGCTGTGGATAAACTAAAAAAACTGTTGGCAGTTCGGTTCATTAAATTTAATTCCAAATCAGATTTTTTAGATGCGGCTCTATCAGGGTAGTTGTATTGAACTTATACATACATTGTATTAGATATCAATATATACTTACTGTTCAATTGCAGCTAGTGATGGTATATACGCTACTGTCATCAGAAAAATCGATTACTTATTTCGTATGGACAACGAACGAGTAACTATTAACGAATATATGGAATCTCCTGAACTGTTTTCATCCGGTTTCGCTAATGGCGTAAGTAGGACAGTCTATGTGAATGCATGGGACGCATTTATTAGTATGACTGCGTAATACTGATATTTCAAGTTCATGCGCCCATTTTTTGCAAATTAGGAATCAAAAGGATTGGATAGGTCTGTGTGTGTAGTTTTCGGGAATATGTGTTGGCCTGGTCAAAATTTGCAGAGGTCAAAGTTTCCATGCTATTGTGAATTGTAATTTAGTGATTATGTCCATATGTATATATGCATTTATGTGAATAATTATATACATTTCATATTTTGACTTATTTTAAGGATATGTCTGAACGTCTGATTCTTAAGAAAGGATCATGTTGGTCGTGCTTGCTGTTTATACCTGTGCCAACTACAATAACGTGTATATACGTTTATTTTCAGTTTGCGCCATGGGCTTCTGTAATAGTTAACTGTGCTACTCGGAAACCTGGTGACCCCGTACTGCTATCGGCCAATGATCTGCGGGAATTGACATGCCCGGATGCTCAGCCGACGGAAGGTCTGCCCTATCGTCTATTAGCAATAACTGACATAGATCGCGACTGTCAAGGATCATTCGAATTCGCGAAAGACTTCACGGACATGGGGCAACCTTTTTGTCGATTTATTGTAAACAAAGATGGTGGTATTGAGAAACAAACTGGGTAAGTTGTTAAAGGAAAAATAATAAAGTTGACTGAATATCCATTGTTAACTACTAAAACGCAATCTACACGGGACCAAATGGTTTTGGCATTGGTGTCCGATACAAAAATCCGGGACAAAAAGTCTCCGAACAAAAATTAACTTGTAATTTTGGCATATGTGATAAATATAAACATGTGATGATAATAAACACATTGCATTAATTTCAAGATTTTCAGGCGATGGAGTTATATTTTCTGCTATTCCATACTTGTCGAACCAAATACCGAGAGAGGCATCAATAGAATTCGGAGAACAACTGTTGCGGTATATTGAAGAATTGGTCAGTATAATTCCGGTTTAATTTGCTGTAAACTTAATAGCAGCTGTTTAAAACCTTAATATGTGACTACTGAACATGTACACGAGTATAATATACTCTGTGTAGGCGAACAGTACATGGTTTTACATGGATACTGTTGTGAAATAAAGCTTATTATACATATATATTTTAAATTGCATTTTCAGGGCATGATGGACGCTACCGCTCCACTTCGTGAAGACGAGTTATCACGCACCGTACGGGATGTAAGTAACAATTTATTTGAATGCTGCTATGCGGATAAGTTGCAGTGCATATTTCTTTAATATTTATGTTTGATATTGCATCATGTTCATGATCACTATTTTAAGTAGATGTATATGTTTATTTTTGAAATATTGTTTAAAGAGAAATCTTACTAACCACTCCAGGCATGATTCCAACATGATCATTGTTATGCGATGAAGTGACATTATTGATAACAAAATAATTTAAAATATACGACATATACATCGTTTTAAATGTACCACAGACCATTCGTAAAGCATAAGATATCCCGTTCACTAAAATATATATCCAACAATTTATATTGCACCTTATATTGATTTTACATATTTTGATTTGAATTAACAAATTCCAGTTTCATGTTATGTATTTATATGTCTTCTAGGCAATTATCTGTTCCAATGGTTCTCTAACGCCAAAATACAAATACATTGAAGAGCTGAGAAAGAATGTGAATTATTAGAACCTGGTAAATATTGTTGATAGTAATCTTCAATGTATCTCGTAATTATATTGATTTATCAAAATGGCGACAAATCTAGTATATACAATGTACACGAATATCTTGCATCTGACTTGCACGTCAAGCTTCCGGATAGTCATACTTGACGAATCGTTAGGTACATTGATAGTGAATTTTTACACCCCTTTCTGTAACGCTAACAGGAATTTGTCATTACATATTCACATTATGCATTTTTCAAATGTTTTTTTTTTATCATGGTGGCAGAAGATTATGAAGATTCAGCAAAGAATGTTTTTTTTTCTTCGACATTTTATGAAGGTTTTTTGTTATTGTATCACAATTTACACCCAAAATTGATTATAAAAAAATATATTGATACTATTTTATTTCAATTGGGTACCAGTATTGACAATGATGGTTAGCACAATATTTGTGTGTACACGAGTAAGCGTGAGACATTATTTAATTGAAATTGCCAAATACTGACAAATTGTTTTGTTTGTCAACATTAACTCTATTACATGATGATATAATATTGCATGTTTCACAGCCACTCGTATACTTGTTGCATCAACATGCTGACTTTTAATACGCCGACAGTCAAAACATGGATATACAATTACATCTACATCTACATCTAACTTTTAATTTTTTTCTTTCTTTCCAAAGGAATACCATCGCAATGGACATCGTCACACACAGCATGTCACAGAAGTACTGTAAATAACAAGTGAAAGGAGTAAATAATGTGGAGAAATTATGAATAGATATAATTATAATCTTGTAAATTTACTCGTTTTTTTTTCAAGAAGTGATTAGTATGTTAGTATTTGACCTTCAGGACAATTCAAGTCTGTAGTATCCACAAAAATGTACATAGTTCAATATTTATTTTCTTGTAAAATAAAGGGGGAAAATGTGTGTATATAGAGATCGAATTAGAATTGGAATTTAAATACACACACATCCATATTTAACGAGCTTTTGAGCAAATCAATGGATCACAATATGTTACAATATTTAATAATGTTTTCCAACTAGTGTTAAGTGGCATTGTCAAATATTAAACGTGTATTTATAAGATAACATATCTTCCAAAAGTAATACATATGATGGATTGAGTTATGATAGTTTACACATTGTTGATTGTTGGGAATCTTAGTTTGTCACTTGATGTACGCCATATATCCAGTAAACAGAAACAAACTGTAATAATGTTGATTTCAATACCTTTGAGAGTTGTTTCAGTTCTCCGTTTCAAGATTCAATTCTTATTGTACAGCTTTGTTTTATTTCCTTATATTCCGATATAGACTGTCCAATAAATTATTTAGTTGTCATTTCCATCTGTTGTTTCGCAAGGTAATGTTTGTGTATGGCAGTGGACACTTTTTCTAAACGTGTACAATCAATCTATTCCTGCGAATCCAACGGTTGTTCTTGTACTCTTCACTATAGTACCATAAACAGTATGTACAACATCCAGTCCCTTTAATTGCTAAAATAATATTACATAATATTATGTACAATCATAAACTTTTTGATTATGTGTATCACGACAATTTTTTAGCGAAGCCGGTATTATTAAGGGCGAACCTATCATAAGCTCATAATTCTCATTCACCGCTTTCACGCCCGTATTCGTGACGTTCGAATTATTAATCGTACAATATCTACACCTATTTGCAAATATTTCTAACTTTTTTGGAGAAGAATTGGATGATACAACAATAAATCTAGCTTTGTATGTTGTATAGGTATCCAATAAAAACTGGGAGAGTCATTCGTTTCTTATGTATTATTTCAACTGATTTTTATTAAATTTGCCGATTTTACAACTGCGCATTTCTGTATGCCAACAACTTAGGTCATACATGCACATACTTCTACCAATTTTACAATCACTTTGAACAAATTTGTACAGTGTATTAACAGCTTAAAATCCTCTACACGCTGACAGCATTAACAACTTGTAAATGAAAACTCGAAGAAATTTGAAAACAATTCATTAATTGCCTTATATCTTTTTTATGTGCGAGATGAAACAAAAAAAATCCAACAGCACGTTTACTCAGGGAGTCTCCCATGCAATTACTAACCACGCCCGATTGTGCTTTACTTTAAACATTGGATGTTCACCTAACCACACAGCTGGATGAGTTATTTGAAATTTAGCCGAACTGGTGGCTATTTCCTGTTTTTAAATGTTTTAAAATTGATATCGCTTGCACAGGCACCTTCTATAATTGACCTATGACCTCTACATACTCCGAGTAACACTACGATAATTTAACGGCAATTTACGAAATATTTATTCACATTTTCGAACTTTTAACTATGGGATTTGTTAATATTATATCACATTTAACAATCGCGAATGAATCTACAAACTTTGCAATCACTTTTCACAACTTTGTAAGCAGTTTGTCTTCGATTTTTAGGTTCGATGTTGTGATAATCTGCTTATATATAAGAAATTGTCGAAACATTTTTTAATGTTTTTGAAATTTAACTGCGAGGTTGTCATGACAATGACTTAGGTTAAATATACAAGCAACTCCGCCAACATTTCAATCGCTTTTTCCAACTTTTCACGCTGTTATCTAACATTTTACAGTCAGCTCATGTGAACATCTATATGGTGCTTTCAACTGGTTTTATTAGATTTTGTCGACTTTACAACTGCGCGTTTCTATATGCCAACAACTTAGGTCATATATACAAATACATCTACCAACTTAGTAATCTGTTTGCACAATTTTGCAATCATTTTGAAAAAAACTTTGCACGGTGTGTTAACAGCTTAAAACCCACTACGAGCTGACAGCATCAACAACTTGTTCATGGAAATTCGAAGGAATTTGAAATCTGTTTACATATGAGAAATTGTCGCAATATTTATTTACTGTTTTCGAAATTTAACTCCGGGATTGTCATGACAATGACTTAGATTGAATATACAAGGAGCTCTGCCAATTTTTCAATCGCTTTTTCCAACTTTGCACGCTGTGTTCTAACATTTCATAGTCAGCTCATGTGAACATTTATAGAGTGCTTTCAACTGACTTTTATAGTAAAATATAGCTGGGCTATCGATAGTCATAATATCGACGGTCGCCGATGTGATTCGCCAAACACGCTTTCGAGGGGTAAAAATAAGGAGCTCAGGAAGGAAGGAAGCACTTTTCTTTTTTTGGCATTGTTGGGCAATGAGTTACCCTGTAGTGAGAACGAGTTGATGGAAACTAATCGGTCTGCCGAGTATCCGAATGAACTCTGCTTGGAAAACATTGATTTGCAAGAGTTGCATGTTCTTAAGGTTATGTTATTTCGTGCTCATTTATTATAATTAATAATAATGAGAACAGTTTATTGTTTTATGAAAGGTATTAAAAAACTGAATGACATGTATTTATATTGTTTCAAGGACATCCATGTCGACATTTTTCTGACTCTGACAGTACGAGCATTCGCTAAAGTTGCAATTCCCATGAATACACAGCGAGGCAACATGTGGACATTTCGCGCATTCAACGAATAGGCCATGGTCCGCAATATCTCGCGTATGGAACTCAATTCTGGCGAGCACGAGAAAATCCTGCATAATTTCGATGTAATGGATGTAAAAGATGTGGCTTATTGGTTGACTAAATATATTTTAGAGGTGAGGGAAGTAGAAGGAAAGTGCTACCCTACCAAAACATTACTCTCGCTGGTAATGGGATTACAAAGTTACATGTGCTATGAATGCCAACAACTTATTTAATTTCCTAACTAATTTTAATTTGAAGGTTTTCGGTAAGTGTTCGATTCTGAAATGAAATGATGATCACGTACAGGACTGGTAACTAACATCAAACAAGCGGAAACTATTTCGAGAGGGCAAATAGATGCTTCGCCGCGAAATGATATCACGACCGTACCGACGGAGTGATAAATTCGTGGCAGGGTATAAGAAATTACACAAGACGAAGTCTTGTCGAGAATGGGGGGGGGGTCGATATCCTCGCCATGCAAGATGTCGACCTCCTTCAAAATAACTCCCCAATACGTGGTCATTCTCGAAACTATCGTCCACTTTTCCTATTGTTTAAATCACTGCGAGGTGTGTACTAAATTTTGACTACTTTACAACTGCGCGTTTATGTATGCCAACAACTTAGCTCATATATACAAATATATCTACCAACTTTTCACGCTGTTTCCTAACATTTTACAGTCAACACATATTATTCTCTCCTGTATAGATATACAATTACATCTACATCTATCTTTTCACTTTTCTTTCTTTCCAAAGAAATACCGTCGCCATGGACATCGTCACACATGGCATGTCACAGAAGTACTGTACATAAAAAGTAAAATGAGTATTGCGAATACGATCATGTTAGCTTCGCTCAACTGGTTCGTAACCAGTCTTTTGATTGGTTCTTGACAAACTATGAACAGGCCACTGTGTCGTGCGTTCAGGCCAACCGTTAATTATTCATAAATGGAGTCAATTTGTGTAGTTTTCTTGATTTAATCTGCAGATATAGGTAAAATTTAGGTAAGGCGAAATTTGAAAGAGCAGCTAATATTCTTCAACCTGGTATTTTTTATAGATTTTATTTTTCATTCTGTTCGTCTGTTTTTTCCAGTTTAAAAATATGAGCTCGCTGGAGCCTTCATCTCTTGTCTATTTCGTACACTAGATACCAGCCGATACCCCACCTCCTTCATATGGAAGGAGTACGTAAAGTTGATTATAATTCCTGGGCTCCCTGTGATCTAATGGCCAAAAATAAACGTGGCGGCCACGGCAGCATGTCATCGCCAAACATTGCATCGTACAGATTTACTAGGCCTATGACATGTGAACTGATGTGATTTGTGTGATGTGCACATGCACGGTAAGACTAGTAACAATTACCTAACCTACAGGTCCCACAGGCCACCGTTGTCACGATGCCTCTCAATTTAGCATCTGAAACCAAAAATGATGATCGATATGTGTA